TTTTTTTCAGGAAAAAAAAAAAAAAAAAGGGAGAACCATGTAAAGTTCTTGATTCTATTTTTGTTCTTTCTTTTCTAATTCAACAAGCATCTTCCAAAAACAATGGTATTTTTTTATCCCTTAAAGTGGATACATATATATTGTTTGTGTGGTCGCACTGTATTACATGTATTATGACTACCATTAATTAATATTTTGTGGATTTGTTTCTGGGAGAGAAGAATATATGATTAAATTGATAGTAAGGCATCTCTTTAATGATTCATCTTCACTCTTCCAATATCGCTTGTATCTTCACTCTTCCAATATCGCTTGTATCAACAAAGTCAGAATGTGGTTTATATCCGGGACGGTCCCAATTAGAAAGAAGAGTTGATGGGTTTAGGCCTGTACATGTTTTTAAATGTTGGTGCAAGATGTCTCTCTAACATTAATTATGTTTGCAGGTGACCATATCATTCACAAAAATTATTCTCATCTCAATCCGACCAGGCACAGAAACTCTTGGAAAACTTCCGGGAACTGAAATGTTTTGCGACACCGCACAATATCCAATGGCTGTTAAAATTCCTGGAGTTATGATAATACGTGTCAAGTCTGCCCTGTTTTGTTTTGCAAATGCCAATTTCGTTAGAGAAAGGTATTTAATTATTTAATTAATTAATTAATTAATCACACAACAACATGCCAAGATATATATGACTAATGACTCTAAATTAAAATCCAATCATGAAAAAATAACATGTATTTATTTTTAATTGTATTGTGGTGTGAATTAATGCAAGGATTGTGAGGTGGATAACTGCACAGAAAGCTGCGGACACCAAAGGGCAGACCAAAGACAAAGAGGCCATTCATCTCGTAATTCTTGACATGTCAAGTAAGTGGTTCAAGGAAAAGCTACGTCGTTTTAGATTTCTGTTTAATTAATTTTTTTTATACCAACTTTATACGCATTGAACCCTAAACATAAAAACCTAATCCATAACCCAGAACTTATACGTCGTTTTGGATTTTAAACACTGCATAAGCACCAAAAATAAAGAAAGAGTATCTTATTTCAGGAGATGTTAAATGACTGGCACTATTTATACGTGAAGGTTTACCAAATACCATTACTTAGAAACACAACATAATTACTGAGACTATGTGAAAATCGAGATCCGCATTGACCAAGAAGCTTTCATGTTAGAAGGAAAATACTAGGGAGACATCGTTTTGGATTTTAAACACTGCATAAGCACCAAAAATAAAGAAAGAGTATCTTATTTTAGGAGATGTTAAATGACTGGCACTATTTATACGTGAAGGTTTACCAAATACCATTACTTAGAAACACAACATAATTACTGAGACTATGTGAAAATCGAGATCCGCATTGACCAAGAAGCTTTCATGTTAGAAGGAAAATACTAGGGAGACCTTGTTATATTGTACTACAAAATCACGGAAGGACCTATTTGTATTGACGGGCTCTACATGTATTAGATAGGTGGTGCACAATATGATTTCCTAGAGATTCATAATTTCTTTCCTTTTCCTTGTATGCCAGATTTGATTAACATTGATACATCTGGAATAGCTACTCTAGAGGAGCTGCAAAAGAATTTGATATCCGAAGGAATTGAGGTAAGAGACAGTTTCCCTCTTTGGCTAATTAAATGCATAATTTACACGTTCTCCTTTGTTTTAAAACTTCTTACCTCTCTCTCTCTCTCTCTCTCTCTCTCTCAGTTAGCCGTTGCCAACCCTAGATGGCAAGTGATTCACAAACTAAAGCTATCCAACTTTGTGGGGAAAATTGGAGGAAGAGTCTTCGTGACGGTCGGAGAAGCGGTGGATGCAAGTTTCGGTGGAAAATTTGCTACAGCTTGCGAATGCTAGCTCTTCAGAAGAATGTCCACATCATTCTCATTTAGGTTAATTACTGGTTGCTTGCTTTTGTCATGTGTGCTACTTACCCTCGTCCCAGTCTACTTATGTACATACATGCAGATGGGACATAAATAAGGCGATGATGGTTTCAACTTGTGACACTGGCAGTTATATATGCTCGCTTTCTGGGTTGTAGTATTAAGGAATGTGTAATAAATAATGCAATTCAAACTTTGTGTTGATGTTTCAAAGTTTTACTGGTATGATAAGTTTATGAAAAGAGATTCATTAGCAAAATTGTTCAGTTGATCCAGTTCACTATATTATAGACATGAAGCTTATAACTCAAATCATGCACTTGAGGTCTTGTCTTCAGTCCAAAAACAAGACAAATATAAATATAAATTAATAAATAAAATTTAAAAAGGGGCAAATTTTCCATTAATTGTGACCAACCATAATTGAAGAGCTATTATTAGACGGGTAGATTGAATACCTCAACATAGCACCTCGTTATAGAAGCTCCCGAAAGACAACAGATAACACAGTATAATTTACAGATCAAGACAACAAAGGAATAATAAAGAACGCAAAAGTTGCCTGATAACATAAAAAGTAAGGAAATAAAAATAACGCATGCATAAATGTGTATAACAAAAACATTAAAAACATGTGGCCACTATATTCTAAATCCATGGAAAAAGAAACACGAAAAAAATCCGACAGGCTCATTTTTGTCTGCCTGACTTAGAGTTGAACTTGAAATAGGAAACATATCAAGGGCATCTATAGAAAGAGGGGTAAACAATAAGAAAAAGGGAAAAAATAAGTTACAACATCAAAAGACTTTCCTGTGTAAAACCTATTGGCTACCACCAATCATAATTTCTTCTAATACCATCAGCGCTAGAGTTGCTAAACCTCGATGCAGAATATCTGTGCTGAAAAGACCTAGATTGCCCTTGTGAGATTGGACTTCCAGAAACCTTCCACATTTTTTTGGAGGATCTAGAACTTGAAGCATGAACCCTACCAGATGGTGGTGTTGCAGGAGACTTCCAACTGTTCCTTTTACCATTTCTAGGGGAGAAATCCCCTGGATCGTCCATTATCCAGCCACCTCTATGCTTTGCCTTTTGTGGGGTCGTCATACCTCTTTCTTCATACTGGGTTTGTTTTCTTTTGTGAGCTTTATTTAGGTCATTCGGAGCGGACTTGAACCCCGTGTAGTCTCTCTTTTCCTTATGAGATTTCAAAATGGGAGTAGAGTAATTAGATAATTCCCCAAATCTCTGGTGAGTCTGCAAGTTTCACAAAGTACTGCAGTTAGCATTTTCAGAAAGACTAGCACTACCCACAGTTAACATAGAAGAAGATTGCACAGTATAAAAATAATTCTGGGAGGCGTACACTGAGAGTTACATTAGCAAAACTCGTACATGCACGAGCATAGTGACCACCTTCACCACATTTGTAGCATAAACGAGGTGATCCAAAATCATTGGTTTCCCCACCACGCAAACTCACGCATGCCTGCATGTACAGAATTCCCTTTCTTAAAAGAAGGAAAAAAAGAAAGGCAGACTATTTTGGCAAAATGGAAGCAAAATGATAGAATGCGTATGCTATTTTGGACACAGAAGAAACTACAGCTTTTTATAACAGAATATTATATTTAGATGGTCAAAAGATGTTGAAAAAGAAAAATATGACCAGGTAACATCAAACCTCCCAAGCAATCAGAAGATAATATATAAGTTATAATGAGGTTTATCTTACATGTCCATATCTCTAACCAAATGGCTGAAAAACAGGTCCTTATCTAAGAACCATCTTTAAAAATCTCTGTATGCATAGGCATATGCATGCATGCACAAATGCACAAACACACAAACACATAACATGAATTCCACTTGTAAATCATCAACAATATAGGCAATATGAACATATCAAAGCAAATCCCAATAGGTCAAATGTTCATTTTAGCACTGTTTGATTGAATAATATCCCCAGCCCCATTTCAAAACGGTAGGCCTTGCTTGCATATATCCAGTTGCTAATGCACCTCCCCACCCCACCCCTAAAAACAAGCAACAAGACTTACCATACCAGTATGTCCCAATTGACCACATCTGTAACAAGAAACTTCCTGGGGACTAGTATCAACATACTTGACACAACATAAATGGCCAAATCTCTTGCAAACATAGCATTGGATTTCCTGATTCAGGAAAAGAAATTTAGAAAGGGCTCTTGAACATAATTCCAAACAATATCTCATTAATATGATATAAAAATCATACAGAAAATAGACTTAAAAGTCACAAAAATACCTTAAGATCCTCAGTTAAATAATCATTCCTGCATGAGAACATATCATGCCCAGAATCTCCACATTTTAGACATATTTGGGATTTCAATGAACCCCTCTTCTGCTTTTCTGGACAATCTTTAGCATAGTGTCCACCTTTTTTGCAAATAAAGCAATCTTGTCCCTGTAAAGATTTAAGGCAGGGACAATAAGAGACCAAATGAACATGAACCATCTTCTAGAGCTTCCAATAAGAACATTGCAATCAAGATGAAGAAACAGGAATTATTGAGGAACCTATCTTTGTACAATGCCATACAAGCACTGTGGCGTACAGGAACTGGTGAACAATTCATCATGTTTGTAATAGCACTAACTTAACATTATATAGCATACGCATAAAACAGGAAAATAAGATCCTTGGTTTTGTTTTTTGATATTTTTTTATCAAAAGATGATCTAAGAAACAGAAGAGAGCATGTGTACATACAAGAAAAGTCAACAACCTAAATCGACAAGAGCAACATCTAGCCAATCCTTCCCAGAAATTAAGAGACATAGAGCAATTGAATATTAAATTGCACAACCAAAAGAAAATTGTTAACTAACCTTTCTGCAGTCTCTGGCATGGTGTTCCAAACTGCCACAAACAAAGCATGGTTTCTTCCTCTTAGCTACGGTGCAATTCACTGCTGCATGACCTTCTTCGCCACAGTTAAAGCATGTTCCCCAGCTACTATTTGGAGGATCAAAATACCTTGGTCCCCGCTGATAGAACAGAAATAAGATAGGTACCAAGCTAAGGTCTTCATAAGGATTTTCATTTTCAATAGGGCATTTCAAAGCAAATAGTTGAACTCACAAGAAGTTTTCGCAGCACAACATTGTCGCTAATCTCAACATTATTCAGTTGCTCAGCTTCAGCCAAATCTACAGCATTAGCTACCTCTATCTTCTCTTCCTCGTTAGCAACCACCTAAACCAATAATGGTATGCAAAACCGTCAGACATAAGAAACAAGGTTATCAGCTCTTTCATCCTCTTCTACAACAAAGAAAAGCCAGAAAATCAGACTGACATTTCTTCCTACAGACATCTACATAAACAGTCTAATCAGGAAATTCAATTTTGACATCATAAGGTCCAGTTTCAAAACAAATTCTCGAATTCAATCCCATTATTTTTTGAAAAAATACATGGCTTACTGACCACTTATACTTCTCTAACCCCCATTAACTAAAATGATAGCAAAAACGAATTAAATTTTACGCGGATTGAATTAATTTCCATAATTTCCTTCAATCAATTTTCTCTAGAAACAAATGGAGTAAAAGACGAAAACCACTCACAGCTTGATCTTCAATCTTCGTCTTCTTAATCCTCTTCTTCCTCTCCCTTTTACGTACCGTCTTAGTCTCCAAATCTGCAGATGCAACTTCAGCTTCCTGCAAAGAAGTCGAAGAAGGGAGTTCAACCAAACCGCTTGGCTGGCCCAAAACGACGTCGTTGTCCGGAGCCAACTTGGCCGCACGCATTAACATAGCTTTCTCGACTATCTTGAGGCTGAGATCTTCATTGGCCTCATCGTCATCGCTACTGTTCCTTTCAGCAACAGATTTCGAAGGGTCTTTCTCGGCTAAATTTCGTTCTTCTTCGCTTACTTCGTCCCAATCAAATTTGGCCTTTTCCCTCTCTCTCTTTCCCATGTTCGTCTTCCAATTCTTAAGCCCTAATCCCTAATCGAGAAATATACATCAAAGAAAAGCGGAAAACAAATCGAAAATTTTAAAATTTAAACAAAAACATTTCCGCGACAACTATGGGCTTTTGTTCTCTCTTTTTTCGGCTGTAGTTTTGGGCTTTTTTATTTATTAAAAATTGGACTTGGGCTATGGTGGCTGGGTTGTAATATTTAGGTTTTAAAATACCGTGAGAGAGGAATTTGATGTTTTGAAGTATAGCGAAGAAGAAAAAAAAGCATTGCTAAACCATTTATTATCCTTTTTCTCTCTCTTCTTGAGAGCATCTCTCTCCTCGTGAGTCTCCATACTTTGGTGGTATTGCACATCTTTTTTCTATCCATCTTTAACCCTTCTCCTTACCCAATTTTCTGTCCTTACCCCTTTTCACCGTTTTTCCTCCGCCTCTTTCCCTCCACTCATAACCATCCAATCTGAATTTTCATCTATTCTCTTTCCTACTCTCCTAGATATTTTTGGGTCTCTCCCTATGATGGAGAGAAATTTTCAACTGCTGACCAACGCTGTCCAAATGGGGGATTCTCTAGGTCTACATGATTTTAGCAACGGGGTTACCCTCTTTGGATCCTTGCTTGCTGATAAACCTCCAAACATTGGGGTCATTAAACGTATGCGTGCTAGGGTAGCCTTTGGTGAAGTTCGAATAGTGGATGTCAAAGATTTAATTTTTTTTCCATTAAGGTACATGATGAGGAGGCGCCTAGGAGAATTTTCGATGGAGGTCCGTGGAATGTGGGACACCCCAACCCAATTTTAACTATTCATTTAAATTATTTAATTGTGAAATTACAATTTTGCCTTTAGGGGTAGGGTCATTTTGGTCACTTTTTAATTGGGTAGGATTTTGGGGAATTGAATAGCACCGTGACTCAGAGCGCGTCAATATGAGTTCGTAGACACGTAATGGGCTCAAATCGAAGTTTTAACGAAGAAGTTAAGATCAATGGGAATGCAGTGGTACAACCGTAAATATCTCAAAGTCAGATTTTAAAAACCCTGATCAGCTGTATTCATGCCAATCTTGACTTATGAATGAAATCTTCTTCTTAAAAATAAAAAATATTAATAAAAATAAAATAAAATACCTTGAAATTGTTTTTGTTTTCATTTGTCTTGCGCTCCTTTTTCAATCACCAATTTTACATCACCACGCATGCAATGCACTCCAATTACCAAAATTCAGTATTTGGGACCTGCCAACTTGGACCCGACTGCTCGACTCTTGTGTTCGGCAGCGGACCCAATCCAAACCTCTTGACCTCCATATCCAAACTTCACCCAAAAAAATATTATTCAAACTCCAAAAAATTCACTAAAAAATACTACAAACTCTTTGTAACATGCACTTCATTCTATAATCTCAAATTCATAATTTGACCCCAAAAGATTCCATTTCCAAATTCCACATAAAACTAAAAACTGGAAAAAGTTATTACCAAACAACTTTTAAACAGTTTTTCAATTTTCAATTTTTTTGAAAACTAAAATTGATTACCAAACAAGTTTTCTGTTTTCAATTTCTTAAAAATAAAAACTAAAACCTGAAATTGTTATCAAACGAGCCCTAAGGTAATTATTGTGGGCTTTCTTCACGTTCCAAATTGTCTTGAGCTCTTGAACTAATTAGGTTTCAATTCTTGTGATTTGAAGGGTGTTTGAGTTAATTGAGGGTCTTAGAGTTTGAATTGGTGATTGGTTAATTGAACTGGGATATTTTGAGCTGACTCTCTAATCTATTGAACTGTTGGAAATCTAAGTCAATTAGCATTTGTACTTGTTTTTTTAATGGTTTAGAGGTAATTCTCTAATAGTGAATTGGGTCAAAACTAACTATGACCAACTTTTGACATCAATAAGTGGGGTTGAAAATTAGGCTGTATAATTACAGCGCCATGGAGACAAAGTAAGAAATGTGAAGTTGGGTTTTTAATTCTAAAACATAGATTCAAATTCAATTGCTTAGTTAGTCAATGTGCACTGACAACCACATGATCCATGAGTTGGGAAGGATGTGTATTAATGTATAGAGTATAGACAAAGAAATAACAAAAGAATGCAGACAAATAAGAGATGGTTTTGAAACCAAAAATAAAATTATAAATATATATTGAATCAATTAGTCGAAGGATAATAACTAGTTCAAGTTGTTGCTATTGTTTGTTTTTCTTTAATCTCCTCTCTCTAATTTTCACTGCAGGCAGTTGTAAATTTGTGTTCTCTCTCTGTCATGGTTTCTCAATAGGATAGAAGGAGGGAGAAGAGATCATCTGCTCAGCTGCATGAAAAATGGACGTCCTTTGCTTTGTCACCGGAGTAGGGAATGAGAATGCTTCAATATGGAATTAAGAGGCTGATTTCCTTGAGCTCTACACAGCAGATTCTTTACCTTCGATGTCATCTGCTTTCAAAATAAATAATAATAATAATAAAGGAGAAGCAATTATTTAATTAATCTCACTTTCGTTAATATTAATCATGAATGATATTAACTATTAACTAAGATTTTAAATGCTAAACCTTTTCCAAACTCCCCCTTGACGCATATGGAACCGCTCTCTGATATCCAATCGAAGCAGTGGGTGGAGACTTCCGGCTAGTTTCTTCTCTGCATAACGATTTCCCATTGCTTCTGCTTCGCGTTGTGATCGTTGAAGAGCCACGGCAGTTGCCATTTAGCAGGCTAGGGAGGCTTGCTTCCTAAGGTGTTACAAATTAAAAAGTTTAATTAAAGGCTAATTAAAAGTTTTATTCATCAACCGGGGGAAAAAAAAATAGACGTGGTCTTGTGGGAAGTACCAAAAATAGCACAGTTGCGCAGTTCTTGAGGACCTCCAAGTTCATTCTAACGTCTTCAAGGCTCCTATAAATGTTTTGAGGAATTATATAAACAACCAAACATGAATTTCTTCTGATATACCCCAATAATAGTATATAGTAACTATAAATGTGATTCCCCACCTGTGCTTTTGCTGCCCAAGCTTGAAGTAAGATGCCAAAGTTGCCATCTGAACAAATGAAAATCAAGTAAGATTGTTTTTGCAGCCAAAAATTACAGTTTGGTTTAGGGTTTAATAATTAATTGTAACATTTATATATACCTTCATATTACCAGCTCTTCTGCCAAACTTGTCAGTTAACACCCCTAAAGAATCAATCATCCCAACCGGAATAGGAGCAGGCCTGCCAATCTCCGCAAAGGCCTCCTTAATCCGAATGCAATCGAATCTTCGGATGTTGTGGCCTGCCCACACCCTACCATTCAAAATGCTGAATATCTTATCAGAAACTTCCTTGAACAAGGGTGCATTTGCAACAGTTTCCCTAGTGATCCCGTCGGACCGGCCAGATCTCAATGCCACAACAGACAAGTCCCCTGGCCTGATGAGGGTGCTATAGCTTTCCAGCTCCACAAGCTTCTGAGGGCAAACTACAATTGCACCAAATTCCAATACCCAGAACCTCTGTCCAGCTCTATTGGGTACATTTGTTTCAATGTCAAAGAACACAATCTCTGGTGTGCCTTCTTTGGATGATGAAGTAGAAGCATCCATTTGAGGTTGTAGCTGGTTTTCCCTTTTTGGGATTCAGGCTTTTGGTAATTTTCATCATCGTTATGTACGGGTTATATATAAAGGTGAAGTTAAAAAGAACAGAGAGAGAGAGAGAGAGAAAGGCCAGAGTGGAAGAAAGGGAATTCCTCCTATGTGAGATTGAGTTACTTGTAGTTTAAGTCAAGAGTTTTAGGCTTTGGCTTTGGCTCTAGGGGTTCTTTCGTCCTTAGCTTCCTCAAGATGTCATATACAAAAGCACTTCCAGTTGGACAGGAATTGCTTTCTCCTCTTTCTGCTATTGCTTTTCTAACGGTAACCTTTGGAGGGAACCTTCCTTTTGGACAAGTTTTGACAATCTTCATCCATTAGGCCATTGTTGAATATGTTGGGACAGTTGAAGCAAAGTCTCCAACTAGGCAGGAATTTATTCCCTTTCCTACGTAAATATATGCTTTGTCTCCTTTCTTTCTCTTCTCTTTGTCCTTCCTTCTCCTTTCTCATGATATATATATATTTAAAGATGAAAATTCAGAAGCCTTTTGTATTCATTCATGAACTCACTTTTTGGGTAAGGCAGCATGGTGTGAATGAGAATATAAATAATTTCCCCTAATTTCTCAATTATTGAATACAAATAGTTAATATCAACTTGTGTGTGAATGTTTCAGACCAAAACAAGAAAGTGGAAAAGGAATGAGTGGTCTAACCCAGTGGAAAAGGGCATTAACTTGCATACCAATGGTCTAAGATTCGAACCCCCATGACACCTTAGTAGTGTTTGTGAGAAAACCCCCGCGCCCCCCCTACCCTTCTCTTTCTTTATAATGTAGACTATCGCTTATATAAAAAATAAAAAAATTGACAAGAACAAGAAGTTGCGAGTAATGAGTGGCCTCCATGTGGGCTTTACACAACATACTTGAGCATAAACTTAACCCCCCAAAAAATTATTTCATCATAAATTAACCAAAACAAACATGTATACAGTCTCATTCTTTTAAGGGATACTTCAAACAAACTTATTTGAGACATTTTGTGGGAGGGATACTTCAAACAAACTTATTTGAGACATTTTGTGGGAAATATCCATATTAGAGACGTTATTGGGCTTCAACTTAATTAGTCACAAACCTTTTAGGATGCATTTCCTAGAACTACATTTCCATGTTTAATAACTGCAAATTACTTTCGCTTCGGCTTTCTCACAAGTCCCAAACCTGCAACAAAAAAGTTTAGCCAACAAAGGGTAGAGTTGCGTTCTCTAACCTCATTCTCTGTTTTCTTTTGAAATATATACTAATTCTTAATGATTACTATAGCCTTATATTTCAGCTTCCAAAACTTAAATTTTGTTGATCATATTTCCAACGAAAATGCCAGATTCCAGTAGTTTCTAAGAGAAGACCATTCCCAAAAATGAGTTTAGAATCCTTAAAATACAATTCAACATACACCTTTCATTTAACCCAAAAAAAAAAAAAAAAAAAGGAACATACGCCTTTGATTGCATTACTGTTGAATACAGCACCGGAAAAATTATTTTAGACTGTCCCCTACAGGACCAACTTATGCTTAGTTTCGAAACAATTAATAGAGTGCGGATTTACACCGAAGTACAACAGTTGCAACATTATCAGTAATGATTTTGCTTAATTTAAACGTGGAAGACAGGCTTTACTTTAGTGCGAAGAGTGCTTTCTTAATTCTCTCCACAGCTGCCTGCAGGGTTGTGAGGGATGCTGCATAGGATATTCGTATGCAGGTATCATCTCCAAATGCATCCCCTGGAACTAGTGCAACCTGTAAATCAATGACAACCCAAGTATGAAGAACTGAAGTCAGTTTGCTACTCAATGCACTCCTTTTCTTTTCCTTCTTTTATTTTATTTTTAATATAGATAGTGACCAATCCCATGTCAGCATTTTATGGAACCATCAAGGGATTTCAAACTATTACGACTACTAAAATATGGCTCTTCCTGAATAGCAATCTACAAGCAGCCATTGGTAATGCATACCTGACCCTTGTCAAGTAGGTAACGGCATAGGGACTCCGAATTCTCAATTTTACCAAATCCTTCAGCCTCTGTTCCGTAGTAAGAGCTGACATCAATGAAGAGATAGAAAGCTCCCTGAAAGTAAGAAGTGATATAATGAAGAAATTAGGATAAAAAGAAAAAGATACAAAAAATTTAATCCCTCAAGGACTGCTATACTCCAGACAAGGGGGAAAGGAAAATGAGAAAAATAAAGAGGAAATAAACGGATTATCAGATCTGGTACCTTGGGTTCTGAAATTTTAACACCAGAAAGTTCACCAAAGCTTTTGACCAAGAAATCTCGTCGCTCCCTGAATGCTTTCACCATAATAGAAACTGCCTCTCCACCAGCATAGCCAAGACCTAGGGCAGCAACTGCTGCTTTCTGTGATATACTACTGGCACCTGAGGTGAACTATGGCATATTACACGGGTTAGCTGTGTGTAGCAAACTACAAAAACACAAACACACATACAAATGTAAATAAAAGTAATGTATATATATTGATCATCCAAAATTTCATCCAATACTTAAGACATGTCTAAATATTGACCTCTAATGTAGGCCAAATTATTTAATTATCTTCAATTTCTTTTGCAATGATACTAATTAACCATCCATGATCTTAACTTAGGACTTGTTCTGTTATACTTGCAAATATAAATTAGCTGTGCATTAGTTAAAACTAGGGGTGGTTATGACAAGCTCAGTATGCAGTCAAAAGCTTGAGATGACATGCAGATGGTTATGACACACTGCCCAAGCAATATGTACACCAAAAATTCAAAGAATTGGTGCCAGAAAGTCTCTCTGTCGCAGAGTGAACCAGTAAGTTCTTTGGCTTGGACAAGATTATACTTTACATGGAACGAAGACATCAATATCTGCGCTGCGAAGAATTAAATACTCATATTTCTTAAGGGTTTAACAGAAAGTCATTATGTCATCTTCAGGCAACATTTCTGAAGTAAACCTTGATTGGCTATACAGGTTGGATTTAGTTTTTAGGTGGTGACAAGCAATAAGTTCATTGACCTTCAAAGAATTGTTGCCAGGAAGTCTCTCGGTCACAGAGTATTCCAAATAAGTTCTTTAGCTTGGACAAAATTAGACTTTCCATGGAACAAAGGCATCCATATCCATGCTGCAAAGAATTAAATACTCATATTTCTTAAGGATTTAGCAGCAAGACATGATCCCATCCGGATTTCTAATCAAATGGAAGAAGAGTACAAAAGGGAACATTTAAGAAGGCTCCATTAGAAGAGAATATTGGAATTTAAAAATCTGTTGCAAATGCAAGCAAAAGGAAAGTGAATTTGAAAAATCCCACGGTGGCTCCACTTCTGCCAGCCATTTGGCGATTCCCATTCCTAAGAGTGCTGGCTCTAGTTTTAAAACTAGAACTAAACAGCAATGTTCGAAATGTAAATACTTAGGACATTTTTCAGCACAATGTCCAAAACGATCAGTGGCTTCAACCCAAAACAGAGAAAAAAATAATCTTGTGTTGGAAGCTGAAGAAGAAAGAAGCAATGACAAGAATTATTATGATAGCAGCGCCATGCTGTTCTTTGCCCCTTAAGAACCGTCTGTCAGCTGTAGTGGTGTTTAGTTACTTAAAGGTGGTTGACCATCAATAGCATTCAAGACATGTTAGACTGTTAGTTTATACTTGATGCAGTATAAACTATTAAACAAGTGATGTGTCCACTAAACTCATTATGTATGTTTTTTTTAAGTACCTCTCGATATATTGCATGCATGATACCTCTTACCGCATTTTCAAACACATACCCCACACATGCTTATTGACCACGTAATTTTACAATTCAACAAAAGATTAAAACTTCCATAAAATATTCCATGTTTATAAATTTCATTGTAGGAATGAATGAACTTTAATTACAATGGCAAGCAACATCAAAATGAATTTGTTGGAACTAACATTATACTCAAATGTATAGACCATAAATTATTAATTAGTCTATGTGTGGAAGGGCTGAAAGGATTTTTTTTGAACTTATTTTGTGTGTGCGCACATTTTCAAACTTTTTACCCCACAACTATTAATGAATGCCACAAGCTAACAAAGAAGGTTTAAAAAACGCAAATGTCAGACGTGCCATTATTACTTGTTAAATAATTGGCAAAATATATTTGCACGATGCATATGGAATTCTAATGTAGGAAATACCTGACT